TCTCAGTAGAGGTAATGCACATTTCTTACCAATAGTGTATTCAATGCACCAGCTGCATCTCGCTCTACTGCTTCTTGGAAAGTGCTTTCTGCCATCTAGGTGGCAGCAATGTGGACTAGCACTTTTTACCAATTAGTAGATACAGCGATTAGGCAGGTGAAGTTAAATGCAAAGCTCAGTTTTTTGTTTTTTTTTTACCCAGTCAGCCTTAGGCACTCCCCAAGTACCTTCACAGTCTCTCTATTGGTTAGTGAGGCCACCGGTCACAGTATAGGTGGTTTTATACATTAATTTCATTTTTTCCTTTCCCATTTCTATTTTTTATTTTTGCTTTCATTCATTTTGATGTGTTGTTGTTTACAGCAGCTACAGTATTAATGAATGTTTTCTGTTTGTCTCATCGTCTTACTTGATTTCACCTGATGATGGCAGGTCTGCTAAGATATGTACTGCACGTGTGTTTGGGTGATGGTCACTTTTGTAAGCAATGAATAAGTGCTAGATTAGCGTTAAACACATTAGCTTGTGTGTTTTCTTTTTTTATGATTTGTACAATAAAGGCAAATTCAGAAGTGTGGCCAACCGGATCTTTTCCTTTTCCACAGTAAAGGACCAATAGAGAAGAATGAGAGACACAATTTTATTTTTTATTCTTTTTTTTTTTTTACAGGAAATATTGAGCTTTGCATATGTAATTTATCTGCCCATACCTCTACATCTACTGATTCTTTTGACATGTGGTTTTCTCTGAAAGTATACATTTTTTTTGCACCATATGCTCAGCTTGAAATACACAAGTTTTTGATAGGTTCATCTTTATGTGTTATTTCAATTCCTTTCTGCACCAGCAATCCTGTCAAGAAACCCTTCCCACTCCAGTCAAAAAACCTGTTTTGAATTTTAATTGGAACTTTTCAAGACTAACTTTTTATACATTCAAAATAATACCATAATTAATATGATCAAACTGGACATGCCACTGAAAGATTGTTTCTGCAGTTATTAAAATGCTGAAAGGAGAATTACAAAGTGCCATCCTGAAATGGCTCTCCCTTTATTCATAGTTTCCCTCCTGCTGGCCCATCTCCTGCTGTTGTGAAAACACTGTCTTCTACAATGGACTTGCTGTAATAATATTTGATGTCTTTTTCAGTGGAATGGCCCATATTTATTTATGGTTGGTCTTTGTTAGAATATTCTAAGACATGCCAGTCAAACTGGATGCTATTAAAATTCTTCTTCGCTGTAATTGGGAAATCAAAGCTTTTCATGTATACCTTATATTTGGATTATGATTTTTATATTCTATAGAAATGTAAGCCATAGCCAGATTTTTTTGTACTGCATAATACAACAAAAACATGCAGCATGTTAGTGGATTAATGAGCAATGCAAAAGATCAATAAAGTCTATACAATTCTGGGATACAATATCAGATTTCTTCATTCTAAAAGGCAATGCCATGTGAGCAATTTGGTGTATGGCTTCTATTTGTCAGTTCAAAACTAAAAAATGCACTTTTTTCTCTACTGTGATTGGCTTATGGGGTAGTAATTTATGTAACACCGCTACCTGAAGAGACACTGTAAAATAAATGGATTTGGTTTACATTCACAGAAGGATCTCCAATGTGTCCATACAATCCAATGGCAAAGGATGTCGGTTTTATTTATTTTGCTTGTATTAAGGCAATCATATTTCATACAAGTTTTAGGACAAAGCCCATCATGAAAGCGAGATTCCTGCCTAACCATAGTTATTTATAAAAATGTCCCTCTCTTCACCTGCTACCTATCCTGCCTACTCTATATACAGTTGTAAAAATAGATCTGTATACTTGCCTTTTTTTTCAGCCCGCTCCAGTGTGGTTACCTGATCCCGGGGCTCCTGCTCCCTTGTGTCTGGGAGTGCTCAACGACTGGGAATTCCGGGAGCGGTATTATCAGCTATAAGGTCTTCATACCCCAGCTTTTGACAGCACTCCCTCCTTTCCACTGCAGCCAAACACTAATTGTCACAGGGTAGCCAGGGCTGCGGGATCACGTGACTGGACAGAGTAAGCTTAAAAAAAAAGGTAAGTAGATCTTTTTTTTTTACACAGGGTAGACAGCAATGTACCAAGAAGGGGAAGGCTTTTTTAAAAATAGTTATGGTTAGGCAAGAATTCCACTAAGTATACCACCACCAATATCACCACATAAGGGCATCCTCATCCTCTAGGTAGGATTGGTTTGATAGGTTTGAGTAAATGAGCAAGAAAAGTTTTGCTACAGGCCAGATTGAGATTTTTCAGCATAGTTAAGACTCTGTATGCAGTTTTTCACTTAGAAAAAAAAAAAAATACATTACTTAATCACCTACAGCAGGTAAAATAAGTATTGAACACATCACCGAAGTAAATAGTTTCTAAAGGTAACATTGACATGAAATATTCACCACATGTCGGTAACAACACATGCAATCCATACATAGAAATAAAGCAAAACAAAAAAGTTCAGAAATTAAGTTATGTATAATAAATTGGAATGACACAGGAAAAAAGTATTGAGTATAGTCTGGTCAGATCCAGACCACAATTTAACTCTTTGGATGCCATAATACACACCATGTTTGAGGTCAAATGGCACTGCACATCACTCCAAAAACATCATACCAATAATGAAGTTTGGAGGTGGGAATATCAAGATGTAGGGCTATTTTTCAGCATACAGAACTGGCAAACTTCAAATCATTGAAAGAAGCATGCATGGAAAAATGAGGACGATGAAATGAGGGTAGACAGTTCAGCAATTCAATGACCCCAAACACAAGGCCAAGGAAACTCTCAATTGGGTTCAAAGAAAGAAAATAAAGCTGCTAGAATCCTGACTTGAATCCAATAGAAAATCTATGGAAAGAACTAAAGATCATAGAAGAGATCCTTCAAGATTTATGTAGAAGAATGGGCCGCAATCACACCTGAGCAATGCATGCGACTAGTTTCTCCATACCGTAGGCGTCTTGAAGCTGTCATTACCAACAAAGGATTTTGTAAGAAGTATTAAATAAATTTCAGTGTGTTCAATACTTTTTCCCTGTGTCATTCCATTTTATAACACATAACTTAATCTCTGAACTTATTTGTTCTGATTTCTTTGTATGTAAGGATTACATGGGTTGATACTAACCTGTGATGAAAATTTCATGTCAATAGGACCTTTAGAAATCTATTTACTGAGAAAAATGGTGACGTGTTCAATGCTTATTTACCCGCTGTATCTGACATTTCCCTAAAAGCAGTGTTTTGCTTTAGAAGGAAATAAATTAACAGGTAGCAGATTCTTAGTGACAGACAAATAGTAAATAATGTATGGCAGATCAGTCATTGAACTCAGCTCTTGTTTTTATGTGGCAACGGGATATGGAAACAGCATCATGATTTATTAGAGCACAGTGATGCATCTTTCTTGTACATAAAATAAAAAGCCATAATAAGCATGCATGTTGATTTCATAAAAACAGTGTTATTTTATAGAAGTTAATATACAAATAAAGAAAAGTTACAAATAGAATACAAGCAAGCTAATATGTATAAATGATATGTACTGAAAAGCTGAAAGGACTTTTGCTTGTTCCCCACAAAGATACAGCATATATGGGTAATCATTTAACAAACTGAACCATCAGGCCACGTGTGTAAAAAGCTGACCTGTCAGGCAGAACTGAAATACCCTTCTGTGTTAACTACAGCCTCTGAAAAATCTAGTTTTTTTATGTATAGTCACACAAATGCATGTATTTTCATGCTCAGAGTAGTGGGAGAGTTTTACAGCTGAAATCATAAAAGTTTTGGAAGAAGCTTTGAAAAGGAGTGGTACATGACAAAACATAGGAGTTGATTTACTAAAACTGGAGACTGCAAAATCTGGTTCAGCTGTGCATGCTAGAAATTCAGTTTCTAACTTAGAGTAGAACTATAGGCAAAACATTTTTTATCATTTTGGATAGAGTAAGGGAGGTTTATAAGCCCTGTCAGTTTTTTTGGCCACTGTTTCCCATTGGAGAGATTTACCTTCACTTCCTGTCCCACAGCCTAAAAAGGAAGTGAGATAATCTCTGCAAATTAATGAAATTCTTCAGATACCCCCAGGTCAGCAGAACCAGTGCCTCCATTGAAAAATTTCCACTTTTCTGGAGACAACACAAAATTTGGGGTTTTCTTTAATTTCACTTTCGATGATAATCAGGACAAATAAAGGGGGAATCTCCCTAACGGGAAACACAGACTGCAGTCAAAACCTAATAGGTGTTCTAATCCATTTCCGCCTTTGCCTTTAATTATACGTTAAGCTTGTTCAAGTAAGCTTAAAAAAATAAATAAAATAAAAAACAGGAAGCTGGTTGGTTTCTATACCGATTTTGATTTTGCACTCAACAGTTTTAATAAATTAACCCCATAGTAAATCGTAAGTCTTCAGCGCCACATAGGAAATATTAAACTATTTGCCAATAAATGGTCTCATTCCATCAGAAAAGCTTAATAAAATATTGGCATTTATTATAAAAGAAAAACACGATTCTATAACACACACCATGACATGGGTTTATTCTTTTTTTTTTCTAAATATATTTAATAATAAGGTGATAGAATGAAATATTCAAACTAGATCTAACTTACACAACTTTATAAGTATGGTCATTGCCATTAATATAATGGACATGTTGCCTCTATAAGAGTTAATGTATCTTACAAATGGATATCTATAATAACCAGATCTCCTCTTACAGGAGGAACAAAGGCAATATTCCTTTCAGCTTGCCTTGACAGAAGATGGTCTTAGGTGTGATAAGGACTCTGTCAGCCAACCAATGGGCAAGCCAAAAAGCAGGAAAAGAAGAACATCTTGAGTTACGCAGACAACAAAGAGGTCACCAGAAGAAGCCCAGTCAGTGAAGACAGAAAGGGATAGGAAGTAAAAGTGAAATTCTTGGAGTATGGTCATCTCCTCGCTTGCACCTACCATCGGTTTCAGTTCCCTGATCTCAGCGCCACTTCCCTCTTTCATGGCTTTTCTACTGTTCTCCACAAATTCCTGCACAAAAATATTAATAAATAATATATAAAATGTATAACCACCGTTTAATCATCATCATCATCATCAGCTTTGAAAGAAAACATGGTGACCGAATTTACTTACCATTAGGACTTTGTCCATGTAGAATTCCTTTCCAGGGCTCCCATCATTATATTTAGTGTCAACAGCAAAACACAGGAATAAGACATCTACTACCATTTCATAGATGGAGAGGAAGCAGTGAGCAACAAGAAAGGCAAAAAGGCAGACAATGATGAGTGGCAGCACCCATACTGTGTAGTCTCTCTGGTAGTTAAGCAGCATAATGCCTGCAAGGCCTGTGGTGCTCACAATCAAGATCTAAAAGTGAACAAAAAGATAAACAATACTGTAATTCTTATGCAGCACAGCCCTATTTATGGTACGTTTATAGTTTGATAGTTTGAAGAAAAAGCTAGAATCTGGAATGAAATTACATTGACACACACTGGGCATGGTGTCCAAGAAAAAAAGGTCAAGTGTTACCCCATAAGAAAGTTTTCAAAAGTGGTTTTCCTAGTGTAGGTTTGAAAACAGAATGCCACATTTTCATAGAAGAGACTTAGTATATTTCTTTATAAGAGCCACTCTTAAGACTTGTACAGGCATTTATGATGTTGACACTCTTCAAATAATGGTTCTGCCCTCCCATGTGCTACAAGTTCCAAGTGGCCTATCTTTATAACTGATGGTTTTACTGAAAATGATTAAGAATAATGCCAGCAAACAAAATAAATGTCAAACTTTGCATTTTAAGTCTAATGAAGTCTTTACATACTGTACAATTATACAATGCATATGAATATATCTTTAATACCCAAATTTTAGATAACAATGTGGGATTGAATTGTAAATTTTAATCGGGGATGTACTAAAAATAATATTTAACCTATTTACACAGTTTGCTGCCTCAGTGTACACTAAATCACCACATTAAACTAATAAAACATAGGTTTTTTTTTAGATTTTTTTTTTTCATTTTTTATATGGTCTGAGAAAATGTATTATAAATTTAGGCTGGACATAACATTATATCATTTTCTTGTTTGATTTCCTTTACATGTACCTTCAACTACGTAGCACAAGAGCCTGCCTGATTGCATCCAAACTGAAAGTGTTTAGGTTTGACATCATATTGTATGGTTTTGGTAAATCTAACGGAAAATTGTAGAACATTGTAAAATGTATGGCCAGCCTTACTCTAATTTTTTGATTAATTAAAGTAGCCCACTTTTGCAGATACAACAGCTAAACAGACTCATATTGACTCTCTGAAACTCATCTTTCGATTCTAATGCGACTGAGCCTGCCAGACCTGTTCCTGTCAAAGCTTTTTCTAGGAAACCATACTCACTGACACCTTTGTATTTTCTTCTACCTACAGTTTTAGGGTTATAATGGTCTGTCTGGCTTTCCTTGTTAAATGCCTTTTCTCTTATAGCAATATACAAATTCTTACAATGAAATAATTCTTAAAATAACTTTTATACAAAGGGCTTTTAAGTAATCCGTTGTTGCAGAAAAGTTGTAAGTTAAGCCTTTACTTGTCCCCCCAAAAAAGTCATTATCTTTTAGACTGAAACTTTAACTGGCAGTTTATTACTTATATTTGTATCATTTCTTGTTATGCACTAGAATTGAACTGCTTACATTTCAGTTTAAACTGGTGTTCTAAAACTTTTGACTGGTAATGTTATAAATTTAGTGCATCAGTCAGGTACTTATAACAATAAAAGCGGACATTTTGAACACCACTCTAATAAAAAATGTCCTTAATGGCTGATGATTAGCCACATTTACTTATGTGTTCCACTGAACAATTCCTTTTGTGAGAGTTAAAGGCTAACTCTGGGCACAAAAAAACAAAACAAATACCCAAGCAGTGGGCTCCCCTCCGTTATGTCTAAGGGTGCCGTAATAAGTAATAGTTGCTTTATTCCAGAATATCTACCTTACCTTATTCTGCACTCCAGCAGGCTCCCTCTACTGGTGTGACCAGGTAGCTTCAGCCTCCTGGCTAAGCTGCTCATGGCCATAGTTACACACTCATTCCCTACCTGTACAATGCAGGGTTAACAGCCCTGCACTGTACAGGCCACCGCTGAGGGACCACTCACAGACTGGAGCTTTGGACATAACAAGCATTTTTACCCTTACAGTGTGGGGGACTCCACTGTAAAAGGTACATTTTGACTAATTCCCAGAGTTGGACTTTAAAGGCAGGTAAAACACAAAGAAAAGTTTTCTAAATAGGTTTTTGATTCATGTAGCTTATCACAAAACCACCACATCATGAATAAAAAGAAAAAAAAAAGACATTTTACAAACAAAAGGGGCTTGAGTTACCACAAAAGCACTTTCAATTAGCCATAAACATCCAACCCCTTGCTGGGGAAGTTCTCTTTAAAATCCTACATCAGATAGGTGTTTAAACGGGGTTCAATGTGCCAATTTAAAAAATACTTATCGATTAACTACATATTGAGCTACAGTAGTAAACAAACCTCTGCATCATGTAGATTAATGTGTATTATAAAGGTTTTGTGCCAAAATGGTGATTAATGTACATTTGCACTCCTTTTTTAAAAGAGAAAAAAAAAATTTCTTGAAAGAGTTAAATACACAAGAAAAGTAGATTTCTACAAAATTGTAGCATACTAGCATTGATTTACTACTTGGGCCATAGCATTTATCACCAAGCTCCTTAAACCGGGAACACTAGACCATTTGACAAATGTCAGTGTCAGTTCATGGCAGCCTGGTTTACTCATCATTTGTGATTCATGCAGCATGGAAAGAAAAACAATATAAAATGCCTTTTGTAAGCTTTGGTCTTCAAAACACAACAACATCATTTGTTACTGAAGAGACCTTTGTGACAAGGGCTCTTCGTGTCAGCCTAAAGACATTTGTTTTTTATTTCATTCCTAAACTGAACTTTAAGGTAATAGGGAGATTGCAGGAGTAGAAAGCAAGGTTTGGGACTAGCAAACTGCCCAAGGACATTTCAAGTAGCAAATTTCTAATTAGGGCATTGTAATAAAGTTTATAGTACAGGTAATATAAGGACATGTGGCATAATTATTATTATTAATATACAGGATTTATATGGCGCCAACAGTTTGCACAGTGCTTTACAAAATGAAGTTTGACATTACAGTGACAATTCAATTTGGTACAAGAGGAAACAGAGGGCCCTGCTCGTTAGAGCTTACCATAAGGACAGAATCAGGAAAAAGTCACAGATTTTGGTCGTTGTGAATATATTCTTGAGACTAGCTATTTTGTTATAAAAATCATTCTATACTTGATTAGGAGTTCTGAGAAAACGTTATAAAGAGCCAAAAAATAAAAAAATAAAAAAAAAAAAGCCTTACCAGGACTCTTTCTGCTCTGATAACTTACATTTTTGTTAACTCTACTAAAAACCTGACTCTGGGACAAATCTATTTTTGACGTGAAACTTAGCAAGCTTGGAATCTAAGTAATAATGGGTACAATTCACTAAGCACTAAGCTTCAAACTATGCGGTAGGATACTGCACAGCATCTTTATTACAAAAAAAAAAACAAAAACCTTTGAATTCACTAAAAAATGCTACTAAAATACCACAGTTATTTTATCAAGTCCTGCAGTATTTTAGTAGTGAAAACCATGCGTTAATGTTTCAGCTGTCAGCAGGGTTCCCCACTGACAGCTAAATGTAAAAGTTAGAATTGCCGGCAATTCAAAAAAATGTTAAAAATGGCGTGGGGTCCCCCCTTCCATCCATACCAGGCCCTTCGGGTCTGGTATGGATTTTGAGGGGAACCCTCACACCAAAATGTAAGAAAAAAAAATGGCGTGGGGTCCCCCCAAAATCCACACCAGACCCTTATTCGAGCATGCAGTCCGGCAGGTCAGGAAAGGGGGGGGGGAATGAGCGAGCGTCCCCTCTTGAACCATACCTAGCCACATGCCCTCAAGATGGGGAGGGAGTGCTTTTGGGCAGGAGAGGCTTCCTTCCCAAAGTACCTTGTCCCCATGTTGATGGGGACAGAGGCTTCCCCCCCACAACCCTGGCCGGTGGTTGTGGGGGTCTGCGGGCAAGAGGCTTATCGGAATCTGGAATCCTCCTTTAGCAACAGGGCCCCAGATCCCCCCCCCCACCCCCTTATGTTAATAAGTATGCAGTACATAGTACCACTACCCATTCACAAAAAAAAACAAAAAAAAATGGAGTGTGAACAAAGACAGGTGACAGTCTTTGAGAAGTCCTTTATTAAAAGAAGGAAAATAAAAGAATGTACCCCGAAGTAGATCCAATGTCAATCATGCAATCACCGCATGCCTGGACCACTATTTAATTACCACATGCAATTATTTATTTCCTTTTGTGAATTGACTTTAAGGTCTTTTTATGCGGTATTTATTGAGTTTTTTTTGCTATTTTTGGTAAATACCGCATACTAGCAATAGTGAACTGACATTTTCAGTATCGGATGCAATATGTGGTCATGTGACTGACTTAACTCATGCGACAAGCTTTAGTGAATTGTGCCCAATATCTCCATTTACATTTCAGTAGTGCAATTCTCTAGGTATACTTCCTCCAAAGTCCTAATTCAGAAGCTGTTGTGTGTCAATTTCCTATGAAGGGGACCAGATAATCCTATCTGCTCTCTCCTTTGCAGGGTGACCAATCCCCTTACCTCCCCTTTGTAGTTGTATTAGATTGCGGACTTCACCATACTTGTGTAAAGAACAGTGGGCGGTGCTTTAGTAATGTATTTGCGTGTCTTGACAAAGCTCTGTCCACTGCCTCACTGTTTGGGCACACACATCTACACCTCCTCCACTGTAAATAGGGGCGTATTTACCACTAGGGCAGCATTTTTCAGGGGCAGCGCTGCCTCCCGGCAAAAGTGACACACGTGGCAGCTGGTGACTGAGGATGGGGAGCAGGTGAGGCACAGGCACAGTAGTGCGGGCTGCAGTCTGCTGAAAGGAGTCCATCTCTTGTTCCCCGATCACTGTCAGAGATCAGTGCAGAAGGAGAACTTGGGGCACCCTGGGTGGGGGCACATGGGGGGGGGGGGAGGTGCAATTTTACTCCTGCCCAGGGCGACACACAACCAAACTACACCACTGACTATAGAGTGTCCTGGTGCTGTATATTTTTTTATAAATCAGATATATTATTTATTACTGTTTAAGGCATACATAGTACAGAATGCGGTAGCATATATAACACATTATGAAATAATCAGCCATTAACAAAAAGAACTAAAAGAAAATTTTCAGTGTTACCAGTTGTCCAATGAAAAAATAAATACAACAAG